CATGGCCCAGTGCAAGCGGCTTTAGCCAGGGAACTCATTGCTGTTCCTGCGTCTCCAGTGACATGCTGTGTGCTGTTGAGCATGTGGCAGGGGTGCTCTGTCCCTCAGTTTCCTCATTTCTGATACGGGGATCCTGAAAATGCTGCTTACGCCTCCATTTAATGTGCATGGAGATCTCTGGATAAAACATGCCAGGTACTTCTAAATGTTAACCAGGACTTTGCTCAGGCTGGCTCACCCCTCGCCAGCAATGACCACAGTGAAGTCATGTGGGCTACCGGAGAGCTGCCCGGCCTTGGCAGGGCAGAGATGCTGGCAGAGCGTCATGCTGGGAGATGGACGTGCGGCAGCGTGAAGCTCCCTGGACAGCCCAGCTGCCTGCTGCTCCTTTGCTTAACTAAGATTTCAAATGGACAAAGTCAGGTTGGAGCAGCCATCACCTGGTCCTGATGAAATTCCACTTCACCCTTTGCTAGGCCTGAGCCAAAGCCCACAGGAGTCTATAGGGCTCTCCATTCACTCCCTGGGCTTAGGATCAAGCGTGGAGTGATGTTCTCTCTACTTTCAATCTCGGTCAATAAGGGCTGGGGGCTGATTCTCCTCTCCTTGGCACCTGGTGCAGTGAGTGAAAGAGGGCACGAAATGTGCGTTTCTGCTCTTGTGGCCTTTGACATCAAATCTGCCCTGTTGCAAAGGAGGAGCAAGGCCATGGGGAATCAAGGCCCATGTTCAGCGCTGCCTTGCGACCCATTTGACAGCCCTATCGCCCATCCTTGTAATTTGGCTGAATTCTCACATATCAGAACAGAAACCACCTCACAGTACCAAAGCCAGATACTGCACTGCACACGCTTCTCCCCCTGGGCTGAGGATGACAGAATGACCAGCACATGCCAGTCGTGGCTCTTCATTCTGGTGGCAGGCTCACTGGTACTCCATAGCTGATGGCAAAGGCTGCAGAAAGTGGCTGGGGCAGAATCAAAATGCATTTCTCACATATCAGAACAGAAACCACCTCACAGTACCAAAGCCAGATACTGCACTGCACACGCTTCTCCCCCTGGGCTGAGGATGACAGAATGACCAGCACATGCCAGTCGTGGCTCTTCATTCTGGTGGCAGGCTCACTGGTACTCCATAGCTGATGGCAAAGGCTGCAGAAAGTGGCTGGGGCAGAATCAAAATGCCTCCAGCTCCCCTCATACAGACCTGCAGCCACTCTCAGCAACCTTGCCTTCTGTAGCTTCCAGCAGCTACAATAGCCCTAGCAGCCTGCCCCCCAGAGACCTTTCAGCACTGGACTTCCAAAGGTGCCATATTTTGATGAGCTCATTGAACTTGAGGCAGGGTTGTTGACCATATGCAAAGTATCCACCAATATGCAAATCATTCATTAAAATTTGTATAGAATGCCTCTCGCAGTATGTCTACACTGCAAAATCTTTCCAGAAAAACGGCTGTGGATGGGGGAGAGGGGTTTTTTTTTTCCAAAAGAAGAGGCCTCCAGGAAAAAGCACAGGTGCCCTGGTGGCCACTTCATCCATAGTAATCACAGCTTACTTGCAAGATAGCAACCAATTAATGTGGACGCTATCTGTCGAAAAAGCAAATCGCTTTTTCGATGCGCTATGGCAGTGTGGATGCTTTCTTTCAAAAGAAATTTTTTCGGAAGATCTCTTCCAGAAAAGCTCCTTCCAAAAGAAGCCTGTAGTCTAGACATAGCCACAGAGCCAAACAGATGTGGTGACTGTACTGTAGGGTTAAAATTCTCTGAAATGCCATTTTGGGCACATGCATCATCTTGTGAGTGCCAACAACAACAGGAACTCCATTTTGGCCATCCTTCTTCTCCCTCCTTTTCCCGCCTTTCCTGTGTTTTGGCAGGAAACCCAGCAGACACGTGATCATATTCTGCCCGGCAACAGCAGGTAACTTAAGGGTTGCCTCTGGCTCTGCTCGGGGCTGCCCATTTGAGTGACAGAGTACAGGAGTCATTCAGATGGGTACGCCAGGTCCACGCATAGTAAGTTTAGGGTTGTGGGAGGTACACTTGCATGCAAGGAGTGAACATCTATCTGTCACTCCTCTCTGGTCAGGACTCACTTGCATCCATGACAGTGCAGAGAGAAAGGGGTTTGTTAGGCCAAACAGATCCAGCCAAAGGAGGATACAGCTGTTCTGATCCTGCTGTTCCAGATGTCTAAGATTGAGTCCGGAATCTGGAATCCAGACACTGCCGTGAGGGTCCCAAAGCTGCGAGACATGATACCGTCCCCGTGACATTCCTCCGGTTACCTGGGACTTTACCTTGTACTTACCTTAAGTCGCAGTCAAGCCTGCTTTTGTTCTATTTCTTGTGTGGGGCCTATCTTATTCCTGTTTATAGTTACATTACCTTGTTTACTGTTTAATAAATCCTTGTTGGTTTATCTTAACTGTGCTAATCTTTGGGGAAGTCCTAATAACTCCTAATTATAGATGTGAGTTTGTGGATGGGCCTGAAAGCCAGTTTAGTTTGAGATCACTAGCTTTCTGACTAACAGTACCTCACATTTTGTTCTTTCCATGCTTTTTCAGCCAGACTGAACTTTAATGTAGACTGAGAGAACAAGACTGGACAAAAGGCAGGTCTCTGTAAGACAGATGGGGAGAAAACAGCAGGGCCTCTCCTGGACACCAGGGTACAAGGGAACCCAGACCATTAGCTGCTTCTGGAGCTCAAAGAGGGCTTTTCTCCATTTAAAGGTGCAGAACTCAGGCAAGTGTGACCAGATGTGACGGCATGCTAAAATTAGCATAGAGCTGGGCAAAAGAATTTGGATGGAACCATTTTATGTTGGAAAATGCAGTTTATCACAATAGAGACATTTGCAGGAACGTGACAATGTTGACAACACTTTGAATGGAAAAATGTTTAAATGAATTGGTTTGACTTTCTCATTTATATAACATCAAATGTATTATTTTGACTTTTATATTGTGACATGGATGGTATTAACTATTAAATATTTTAGCATATGCAATATTTTATATGATAGGACAATGTTTTGATCAAAATGCAGATTTTCTGCATAATATTTCCCTTCTGTGACAAATCTGGACTGTGTTCCAATTTGCAATTTTTTAAATGCCAGAATTTTTGGCAGGACAGCAATTCCTTGCAATTCTGGCAAGCCTACCGTGTGAGTTCTTTGGACTCAGGGATTATCCTGTTGTTCTGTGTTTGTACAGCACTTATAATAACAATATGGAGTTCATTGGGTTAAGAGAACTGACATTGAATTATGGGACGAGATCCATTCCCCACTGAAGCAGGGCAGTGAAAACTGCACCTGCTCATCTACACCAGCGAGGAGGGGTGCTGCACCAAGGAGAAGTGGGTGTCCACTGGAGGGCAAATGCTCTGATCTATCTTAAGGTCCATTCAAAGAACTCTGTGCCTGGCAACACTGCCAAAGGCATGCCCTGAGTCACAAGCTGTGCTGGCTATACATGCCCTTCCAGCCCCTCAATGGAGTCAAAGTGGCAGCCAAGTTACAGTGCCTCAGGTGGACATTCCAGCGGAGTCTGCCATTGCCAAGGTCTCTGCTGACAAACAGGAATCTAGGTCACAGACTCCTTTGGAAACAAGCACTGTCTGTGGCTGCCAAGGGAAGCAACTGGCTTTAAAGAAGAGGAAAAACGGGAAACTCTTATCTGAGCCCTCACAGTCAAGGAAACTGCAATAGCACAGGGGCTGCAGGGCAGGACTGAGGGAGGGGCACTGGCAGGGATGTGAGGGGAGCCCAGGGCTGGAATAGCAGGGGCCTGCAGCACAGGACTGAGGGGCATTGGCCAGGCTGTGTGGGGAGCCCAGGGCTGGAATAGCAGGGGGCTGCAGCTAAAGACGGAGGAGCATTAGCACAATTGTGAGTGGGATGAAGGAAATAAAAGAGAAGACAGCACCAGCCCCCTCTGCATGAGCAGCTTACGGTTCGGTGGTGGGTGAGGTGCCTCCGGGGAGGAGGAAGAGGAGCAGGAGGAAGATGCTCGGGCCACCCAGCAGCTTGTCTTTCCCCATGGTGCAGCGCAAGGTTGGTGAGTGAGGCAGACACGCAGCCTTGTCTGCTGGCTCCCTGCACCCGGGCTCTCTTCAGATCAGCCCCTTTATGCTGCTCTCTGCAAACAGCCCCTGGGAGGGGCGAGAGAAGGGCAGGGTGCCAGGACCATCTGGGAAATGGGGAAAGGTACATGAGGAGGAGCCAGGCCCAGCAGCTCTGACTCCTGGCACAGAGACTGTCCCTGGCCAGACCCTGACATGCTGGGGGGCTGGGTATTTCCTGTTGATGTTCATGTGAGACACTGTCCTGTGTCTGAACCAGTCACACCCACACCCGTTTGCCTCACTCCAGCAGCACCCTGCCGTGGGGGGTGAGGGCCTGTAGTTCATTACCGGGCCAGCCCAGCATTCGGTGGGGGTTGGAAGCAGCTTCCAAACACTGCCCAGGGCGGCCAGAGTAACCTTTCTTGGCCCCACCCCCTGGACGGCCAAACACAAGAGATGAACAAGCGCAAGCCAGGTCTCAGCAGCAGCAGCAGATTGGTCCAGCAAGTCTTCAGATTTATCCCCCCCCCCCCTTGTGATTTTTGTCTGTGGAGCTCCCCAGGCCTCCCCACTTTGTGCACAGCTGTCAGTCTGGCCCTCTCCACCAGAAGGGGGAGGGGTGATGGGAATTTGGGCCCTGCTGCTGGAACTCTCACCCATGTCCGGGCATTAAGCCTGTTCCTCACCCCCATCAGGGCCCCAGGCACAGGTGTCGACTCCATGGGGGCTCCAGCCCTGGAGCACCCAGAGGGCAAACAGTGGGTGCTCAGCCCCTACCAGCAGCGCTGCGGATCAGTTCCTCCCCTTCCCACCCAGCACCTCCCTCCTGCCTGGGTTCAGCTGTTCAGCGGCAGGCAAGAGATGCTGGGGGAGAGGGGCTGGAGGGAAGTGGAAAGGCGGGAGTGAGGGCAGGAGGTATGCGGAGGGGGCTTGGGGCAGGGGGTTGAGGTGTGTATAAGGGGGGTGCAGAAGTTAGGACTGGGGACGGGGATGCAGGAGTCAAGGTTGGGGAGTATGAGGAAGGAGCTTGGGGCAAGGCTTGGGGTGGGAGGGTGCAGGAGTCAGGTGTATGAGCAACTCAGGGCAGGGTGTGTGTGGAGGGGTTTAGGGCAGAGGGTTGAGGAATGTATAAGGGAGTGCAGGAGTTAGGGATGGGGATGCAGGAGTCAAGATCAGGGTACATGAGGAGGAGGCTTAGGTCAGAGGGCTGGGTGTCTGCAGGAGGGAGCAAGGTGGCAGGAGAGAGGGGCTGGCTGGGCAGGGGGGCATCTGGGACTGCCCCAGCCCCTCCATTTCAGGAGGCAGGAGGAGGCTGCAGCCACACTTACTTGAGTCACTTAGTGGGTTTTGGCGGTTGGGGTTTTTTTGTTTTTGTTTTGCTTTTTGTTTTGTTTTTTGCTGACTAGGGAGTGAGACAAAGTTCACAGCCTGAGTCCTTTCTCCTCTGCCCTCCCCTGGGCAGCCAGGAGTGAGAGTAGACTGTGAACTTTGCCTCGCTCCCTAGTTATCAAAAAGAAAAAAAAAGCACTCAGTCCTCAGTGAAGGGGACAAGTGCAGCTGCAACCCCTGCGCCGCACCCCACCTTCTCTAACCTATCAGGCTGTCTGCTTGTAGGGTGGCAGCCTGCAGAAATCCCAGGGAGTTGAACTGGGAGCACCACCCCAGTCGGCCAGTTTCTTGCTGGAGCACCACACCGGTTTATTTTCACCTCTGGTTGAAACATTTCGTTCAATCTGAAAGAAAACATTTCATTTCAATATTTAGTCTTTTTAAATATATTTGAACATCTACTATGTAGCTCAGAGAGTTTGTTTGTGAATCTATCTGTTTTGGTGTCTGCCTGTCTGTTCAAGAAGTCCTAAACGGTAAGAGCTAGGACTACCAACTTTGGTAGGCAGCTTCCTTTTATCATAGCTTAAAGCAAGGTCAGGGTTTGGCTGTGCCAGGAAAATGGGACATGCCTGGACTGGGATTGCTTCTCACAAAACCATACAGAAAAGAGACAGAATCACCAGGTAGGTAAAAGGGGCTGGTGGGAGGCACACCCACCCGTCAGAGACTGCCCCATCTCCAAGCCTTCCAACCTCCCAGGCACACCTTAGGGAAGGTGGGGAGCTGAACCCCTCCCCCCCATTCATATGGGAATGTTGCTGGCTTTTCCCTTGCATCAGGGAGTGAGAGGAAAGTGCACAATTTGCTGCATTCCTCACTGTGGCTGGGCAATGCAGGGGGCAGACAAACCTGGACCTGCCCCAGCTGGGGGACAGGATCTCTTCTTCTTGGCTGTGTCTACTGGAGCTGCAGCAGCCATTTACAGGTGCTTCCCACCTGGCCCCAAGAGGCTGCAGTGAGAGAGGGCTGGGGTTGTCCTCTCTCCCAGGGACAGCCTGCGTACTGTATCCCCCCATCCTTACCCCCACCCCAGAGCAATGATTTAAATGAAGCATGTGACTTTTCATTTTATTTTCCAAAAAACAGTAGGGGGCTGCACCCATGCTCGCTATGCTCGCCAACCCCCAACTCTCTGGACACTTTTGTGGCTAGAGAGACTGATGATGTCATTTTGTTGCATGGCAGGAAAAACATTTATATATATATATACACAGAAAGAGAGAGAGAGAGAGAGAGAAATTAATTAAGTTAAGGACCTGCACAAAAAAACCCGTTGAAAAGTAATATTGAAAAAAATCAAAATATTGTATTTGAAATGGCAGAACAAAATGTTCTGAGTTTTTTTAATATGATTTAAGGGTTGTTTTTTTAAAAACAAAATACTTTGCAAAAGTTTTGCTGTTGCCCAGTCCACATTTTTCTCCAAAAAGGCATTTTGTGTAAATATTGTCACTCACTGTAACCCTCCAGCCACACAGGCGCAGCTCTAGTCACTTCCAGTAACGACATCTTATAAAAGATAAACATAGGGTTTGGTTACGCAATTGGCTGTAGGTAGGTGATAACTCAGCCTTCATCTCACTGTGGTCCTGGCCAACGAGTGGGAAGTGAAAACATGTGCAGAATTAGTTCTTTCATAGTCCTTGGAGAACTGACCCTGTCAACAGGAAGTTAATACCCTGCTGCATAGTCCACTTCGTGCTTACCTTCCCTTTACTCTCACAGGAGATTTTTTTAATCCCCTGCTGTCTGTATGTATGCGATAGACCTTGTTTCTACTGTCCTACCCCTGAAGTCACTGGGTGATTTTTATGGCACCTGAGAGGTCAGTTTGATGAAACGGATGCACTTGAATCCCCAAGCATAAACAGCAAGTATGTGACTCCAATACACCAAATATAGAGCTGCAGGGAACACAGAAATGTAGAGTAGAAACATTCAACTTCATAATTGATCCTGACAGTTTGAAATTGCACCTACAGTCAAATGGAAACTTACATTCATTTATACAAGGATTTTGGCTTCCTAAACAACTTCAACAATATGCTGCCCAGTGAAATTACTTCTGCAGCTGCAGTTTTGGTTGCGGCATCCATTTGATCCCGAAGCAGCTTTGGAAGAGGAGTTTGAACAGTTTTGCTCTTTTGCAAAAAAATGAAGATTGTTACTTGCCAGCTAATCTCATAGAGCATCTGAAGGCACCCCTGGAATCCACTTTTCCAAATGTGGGCATCGCTCTTCGTATTTACCTCACATTGCCAGGTACAAATGCTGAAGCAGAAGAGTTGTACTCCATGGGTGTGTCTAGACTACATGGCTCCATTGACGGAGCCATGTAGATGAGGCAGGACAACAAAGGGAAATGATGTTGCGATTTAAATAATCGCCGCTTCATTAAATCAAAATGGCCATTTTGCTGTGCCGATCAGCTGTTTGTCGGCACAGCGCAGCAGTCTAGACGGGGATCTGCCAACCCCAGAACCTTTTGTCGTCAGATCCTGTAAGCCTCGTGGCTCTCAGGGTTCTGGGCTGCTATTTAGCTCTAATTTACTCCTAAATGTCTTCTAAGAGTAAGCCGTGGAAGTGTTGGTAATGCTGCTAGGCAATATTGACCTCCTGTGGGGTGGCAAATTCTCTGAGTCAGCACCGGTCAGGTCCTGAGGGTGCCAGACTAGAGAGGTTCAGCCTGTATATGACAAGGGCAGGCAGGAAAGGGGAAGGCTGCAAATTCCATAGGAAGCAAAGCCTCAGTAATGCCTGGGGTGCCCTCTCCAGTCCAATCTCTATCCAAGGAAATGGGAGCAGGCAGTTTTCAGGCCCGGTTCACTGATTGTCTGTCATTGGATCCATCCTGCACATAACCCTCTGACAGATTTTCACCCAGCTATAATTTCCAGCAGTCACAGACTGTTCCGCATTCGGGTCTTCATATGGTTCCTGCTGTTTACCCTCTGCATCCAGCTCTCTGCAGCTCTTGACTAGCTAAGCAACTGCCACTTCCCAAACAGATCCTGGACTCTTCCTGGGTCAGGTTCTTTTCCTGCACCTGGCCAGGAGGAAGGGGAAGTGCACGTGGAGGTGGCTGATGGGAGCGACAGCCCCAACACAAGAGAAATGTGGCCTATGTGTACATCTTGTATTTGCAGAACACATTGACAGAGTGGGAGCAGGGGCAGATATAGGGCAGGGTGAGCGGGGCGGCCGCCCCAGGCCCTGCGCTTCAAAAAGCACAGCATGCGCTGTGGCGCCACCGCGCATGCGCATGGCGTCACTGCGCATGCGTCATGGCAAAGGGGGGGGCCCCGCGGAATTATGCTGCCCGGGGCCCCGCAAAACGGTCATCTGCCCCTGAGTGGGAGATTAGGAGAAGACAGGAAAGTAGATAACAGAGGATTTGGAAAGCAGGACAGGGCAGAATTTGCTGGTTCATCACATTGGGTACATCCACATAGCAGGACAAAAGTCAAATTAAAATACAGCCTCTCTGACTTACGAACCCGGTTATGGACCAAGCAATTAGCCATAACGCAGTTTGTTTGTAAGTCGGACCCCATAGAGTTACACGTAACCGCGCTGTTCGTAAGCGCGGATCGCGTTCATAACTTGGGGTCCGCCATTTATGACAGTTTTGGTCGTAACTGCAAACAGTCGTAAGTCGACCATTCGCAACTCGGGGACCAGCTGTACACAACTTCAGCCATATCAATTGCATAGCTTAAGTTGAAGTAGCTTAATTGCTTTAGATGCTGTCTACATCTAAAGCAGGAAGTTGAA